GGCCTACACCAGAGACCGCCTTCTCTATGGCCTCGTCTCACGAGTGTTAGACCACAAGTGCGTGTGGTTAATCCAGACTTTTGAATATCTTAACACTTTTATTGTTAGAAAGGGTAAAACCTATTCTTACTTTTTTATCGATTTGCATTGTTGAGGAGTTTATTTAATCTCTTCATACTTTCACACAGGGCTGTGGAAAATAATGTGCATTATTATTGCACATGCTTCCTGAAAATGGGTGTCATATTTTTGCATAAATAAAGCATCTGTGGGTAATGTTTCTCATAATCATTTAAGATATTTGTGTGTGTGTATAAGCACAAACGTGTGCATCACTTTTCAATGTTGTGATGACCCTTTTAGTTGGAACTCTCAAGGGTCGAATGTGGAGATGAATTTTTTTAATATTCGAGTGACATCTTGGAGTCATTGAAGTGTGCGAAATCTCCGAGTCATCAACGACTCCTGAGCACTCGTTGTTTTGAAATAAATCTCAAATCTGCGGGACCTCCCTCCTCCTCGGCACTAGTTCTCTCCCGTCCTCACCCCCGGCTGCTGCTCACCCATGCCTTCGTCACACACCGATCTTGACGACCATAACTCAATATCACAGCCTCCACAAATCCCTCACTTGCAAGCTCCACATGATCCAAAATACCATTGCAAAACTCTTTACCCTCATGCACTGTTGGCTACAAACAAAATAATAAAATATATATAAAACAATAAAAATTCTCACGACGTTTCGACCATAACACAAACACCTGAAGACGACCGTTTGTGTTATGGTCGAAACGTCGTGAGAATTTTTATTGCTTTATATATATTTTATTATTGTGTTGTTTCCCTTCAACGTGACTTTACCGAAAGAACTAAGAATACCCATATTGATGTCAACATGCTCTATGGACTCACCCCTGCTTACCTCCAGTCATATCTCACTCTACTCCCCTTTGTGTGATCTCCTACCTCTCCCCTCTCATCTCACTCTACTCCCATTTATATGCTCTCTGCTTCGACAACCAAGGCTTTCTTTGAGAGCTCCCAGTCAACCTTAGCTCATGGGGATCGAAGGTCGACTGGTTTAGTCCCCGTGTTGAATGAGGGACCGATCTTGCTTGGGGTGCCACAGTGACGAGATGTTAACTGTCTCGCCTGGGGTACAGGAGGTCGTGGGTTCGATCCCAACCCTTGACGCCTGTATATTTGCAGTTTGTGTGTTTTCCCTGTGGTCACGTGGATTTTTCTCCGGATCCTCCAGTTTTTCCCTCCACACTTATAAATATGCATTTATTGTATTTGGCTGCTATTTCCACATAATAAGCCACTTTGTTGAGTTCTGATTTGTGGCCAGCTCACTTCTGAAAAAGAGCTACATAGCTCAGTGGAGCCTTACCTGGTAAAAAAAAAAGATATATAGCTTGCTCATGTCGTATATATTCGCGTGTGTCATGAGGCATGATCACAGGTTTTGGAACCAATATCAATTGTCAAATCAACCTGTAAGACAACTTTGACGCTATTGTGCCATTCAGTGGTATGATGAGCACGCTGGTGTTGGGGTGACCGCGGTGCATGCGCCATCTGAATCTTGCTCTCAAGACAACAGTGATGGGACTATTTCTCATACGTATGAAACTCGGTAAGTGTATACGCGCCAGTGAATTAACCTTTCTTCCCGTTCAATATTTTTTTCCTTATAACAATGGCTGCGAAAGGCAAAGAGAATGCACCAGTGTAATAAAAAATTAATGTCCACGAGCATGAATTATTCATCGCATGACAGAGTGTGCCTTGCCATCGAATGCATTTTTAACCGTCACTATAACGATGGCTGTCATTTTAATAAATACCCCCCCAAATAAACTCCCGAAGGCGAAGAGTGAAAAAAAATGTTAATATGGATCTTGAAAAAAAAAGGGGCAAACTCAGATTGCACATGCAATGTAAACTTTTATGGGAGAGCATATGCTTTAACTTAGAAAATATAGCATATATTAAGGCATTTTTGTTGTTCATGCAGCATTCAAGTCTGGGATGCCACGCCCCACTAAGCATGGGGTGGAAAGAGATTCGTCCCTTTGATGTTGAGAACATGTGCGGTGGTTAAATGCATTGGTGTAGCTGCCAAGAAGCTCTTAAGTAAATACAAGTTGTGTGTGTGTGCGCTCGTGCATGTGTACTGCACATACGAAAAGCAGTGGCATTATCATTAGATTTGTGTTTATTTTATGCATTTTTACCCAGAAAAGCCTCACTAAGTCTTGAAACTATTTTTTAGGAGGGTCCTGCCAAGTTTTTGCACTTGAGGGTGACGATGCTGCCGTGTGTAATCTCAATTTAATTATTTGAAACGGCATTTTCAGCAATGGGATTGTTTAGCTAATACCAGATCGATACATTGTACGTTTTTTATTGTTAGGAGAAAACCCGGAGAACCTGGAGAAAACCCGGAGAACCTTGAGAAAACCCATGTAGGACATGGGGAGAACATGTAAAGAACATGTAAAGACATCGCAGGGAGGCGCCCGAGACGGAATGAACCCAGGCCATATTTTCTGCGAGGCACAAATGTGACCACTATGCTGACTTGCAATTGTGGTTATTGCACTACGCTACAAACCCAGCGACTTCAGCGTTTCAATCCAAGCCATGATTACCATCACTGGTGAGTGGTATCAGAACTTATCATGGTCTTCACCTAGGTCCACTCGGCTTAGGTGAGTTAGCATTTGGAAATAATCTTGATTTGAAGCTTTCGTGACTGCAGGAATCCATACTCTTTGGTTCTTTCGGTAAAGTCATGTAGGTAGAAAATAAAATAAATCACGACGTTTCGGGTGCAACACAAGCATCTGTCATCAGGTGGGAAGGCATGGTCTGCTGCTGATGCAGACTGTTTTAAAAGGTTTGAAATGGGTGTAGCCCAAGGGTCATAAAGAAGTGGCCGGGGCTAGTGATGTTAATGTGATAAATTAGCATGTTACTGTAAGATAGAAGGAGAGCGGCCTCCTGGACGAGGGCACGGAAATGGCTATGTTATTGTGAGAGATTAGCATGATGTTAATGTGAGAAATTAGCATTTAACTATAAGATAGGAGAGCGGCCTTCTCGACAAGGGAGTGCAACCCAACGGGTGCAATCAAAAGGGCATGTGAGCATGAGCGTGCAATCCCCAAGGCATGAGAGTGCAATGCAAAGGACATGTGAGCATGAGAGATCTAAGAGAGGCATAGAGAGAGAGACACAGAGAGTCGGAAATAACAGCTGACATAGGCAGGTAGGATGGAAACATCACAGTCAGTTAGGAATTAATCTTTGTTTTTTTCGGTAAAGTCACGTACCGAAAAAAACAAAGATTAATTCCTGCAGTCACGAAAGCACCAAATCTAGTCAGTTAGGACTTTACCTGGTTAATAACGTCCTTCCAATTATTGCTCAGTTTGTACCTATCCTCTCGGTTGAAGTTGTGTTTGTTTATATATCTGGATGGCTTCATGAACAAATCTCTGAAGGTAGCCGGTAGGTTTGCAGAGTACCTCCGTCTTGGAAAAATCTATTTCGTGTGAGCCTACAGCGTTAAAAGAATGATCAGCAACGGCGGAGGTATTGGTCCTACCGTGTTTCAGATCCGCCTTATGTTCACGAACGCGGTCCGAGACATGTCGTTTCGTTTCCCCAATGTAACTTCTGCCGCAACCACAACTCAGTCTGTAGACACCAGGGTATGGCATGTCAGGAATCGCATCCTTTACAGATGGGATTAAATCACGGATTTTGTGTACTGTGTTGAAACGAACCTGGATCTTGTGTTTGTTTAAGATTTTGGAAATCTTTTTAGTAACCCCTAAGTACGGTAAATTTATGGTTTTGGTTGGATCCTCAGAAGGTTGTCTCCGCATGGCTGGGGAGACAGTTTTGCGGATTGTACGGTCTGAGTATCCGTTCATCCTGAGGGCTTGGTGTACGTGCTCCAACTCACTGGCTAGGTGATGCTGGTCGGAGATGCAACTGGCCCTATGGTGTAGTGTTTTGATGAGGGAATTCTTCTGGGCTTGGATGGTGGTGGGAGTCAGGCTTTAGATAGGCATCCGTGTGGGTGGCTTTCCTGTAGACCGAATGCCCCAATGAGCCATCAGATCTCTTCTCGATCAAAACATCCAGGAATGGTAGCTTGCCATCCTTTTCCACTTCCATGGTGAATTTGATAGACGGGTGTATGGAATTTATGTGGTTGAGAAATTGGTTCAGTGCTGGCAGGCCATGTGGGCAGATGACGAACGTGTCATCCACGTATCCCATCCACAAGGAAGGACGTAGGGTGGATGTCTGGATGGCATCTGTCTCAAATTTCTCTATGAAAACATTCTCTACAACTGGCGATAAGGGATAACCCATAGGAGTACCATTCCAGGTGAAGTATGTGTTGGTAAGGCAGTGCCTTACCAAAGTTGGTACATCTGGATTCAGTCCTTGTTGGCAATAGTACAGCCCTGCTGGGTGGATCCACACGAGTGTTGTTAAGGTCTTCGTAGCATAGTCACTGGTCTGGTGGCTCAGTATCTGCGATATGAGGTCAAACAAATTCAAAATAAATAGCTATTAACTTCCTAGTTCCTTTGAGGATCAGTAATCCATAGACTAGGCAACTATTTGATAAGATTTAATGGCGTGTTTTGCTGGCCCACCATGACCTGACTTGGCTCACCATGTACCCTCCTCCCCATTAGTATTGAACACTTCTTTGGAGAGACACAGGTGGCAGGGCATGGCCTAGTGCTGGCCTTCGAAGGTGTTCACTAACAGCACTTGCCCCAACCGCCCTGAAATCTAAATGAGATCTGTGTCCTTGTTAGCATACACCTCTGCCTATGCGAGTCTACAGTTCGGTTTGGTTGTGTTTTAACGGGCGGTAGTGCGTCTGTGTGTATCTACTATCCCTGCGGCTTGTGATTTAACGAGTCCTACGTGTGTGTGTGCGTGTGCGCGCGTGCGCGTAGGGAACGTGACACCGTGCCACTACGACGAGCAGCAGAACTTCTTTGCGCAGGTCAAGGGCTACAAGCGCTGCATTCTCTTCCCGCCTGAACAGTTTGACTGCCTCTACCCGTATCCCATTCACCACCCGTGTGACCGGCAGAGCCAGGCAAGTGCCCACCCAAACAGCCGACCCGGTGAAACGACTGTGCAGCAGTTGCGTCTGCCTCCAGCACTTCCGAATCGATTAGTGGCTTTCATAGAACTCCTGGGACCATGCATAACGACAGCGGGGTTTCTAAAATATTAAAATAAATTGCAAAAGAGCAAAATTACCGGAATTATAGTCTCAGACAGTGATGAAGGGATATAGGTATGCATGAAACTAGGACACTTTGCGACTCGTGGTAACCTTATGCAAGCAAGACATTGTTTTTGGTATTTACCTAACCCGCTAGAAAAAAATCCAAAACAAGCAGGCTTGAATTACATATAATGCGCTGTGAAATGTGGCCTAATGGTCACCATTTGAGCAAGAGCATATGTTTGATAATGAGCTTATTAACTTTAAAAAATGTGGGGAATAATCATTTCTGATTACTGGCAGTCATCTCCAGTTATGTGCTTGATAGATTATTGTTTTGGCACCGCGTCAAAACAATACCTACAAGTGTGCTGCAGTGAATGCGTTTGTCAGGGCCTTTCGGTTTTTTTTGGATCAATTATATTGCAATATTTTTCCAACGTCATTGACCCAGTGAAAATTTCATATGGCCCCTGTCGTGGTCACGTAATGTGTTGGTGGCTTTCATGAGATTATGGATGATTGCTCTTGGTAAATGTAGGGCCCCCCCCGCCAGTCATTGGGAATGCTTGTGGCTTCATCTTCCATCTTTGGAGAGGCTGAAACACAACATTGGAATCTTTTCCTAATAACGCTAAATAAAGTACCGTATGTTGTGTACGCATGCGTACACGCATAGCGAAACCAACTGTACGTGGCCTAATTGTGTGCGCGGCACACTTACTTCTCTTGACCGCGAGTGCCATGAATATTCAATCAAGAGAAGCAAGACATCAGTGTTTGGGCATTGTAAATCACAGTAGAGCATCTGAGGCAGTCGTTTTGCACTTGGCTGTTGGCAAAAAAAAAAAACCGCCCAAAAAGTTAAATAATGCAGTGGTGATGATGTGCAATTGTGGTCAGTCGGAGGTTTGAAAGTCATGTTGTTTGGAGACTCTATGCGAATGCCAGGGGGTCCGAGTTACGTAAGCCGTGGCATGGATTCAGCTGAGCATTCAGTGGGCAGGATATTTGTTAATGTGCAGCCTTCTGTAGCGTGCATAATGCATTGCCTTGTGCGTGTGCACCTATGATGTGGGAATATCTCGTCAATGGTAAATCTAACCCTTGTGTCTAAAACACTGTCCATACACCAAGACAGCTGTGTTAGATTAAGCAGGTCCGTCATAGTAGTAACAATGCCGTTTATTTTGTCATGTACGTTTTTTTAAAAAAAATGTTTGTTTGTAAAAGTGCCGTTGATAACACAAACATCTGGACGCTGTTTACTGTAAACATTACTTAGAATTTTGGCGGCAGGGTTGTGCAGCGTAACACTCGTGCCTCACAGCCAGAAGGGGCCTGAGTTCGATTCCTGAGTCGGGCACCATCGGGAGTGGAGTTTGTATGTTCCCCCTCTGTTTTGCATGCTTTTCTTTCGGGTTCTCCAGTTTTCCCCCGTAGGTTAAAAACCATGCAGTGTACGGGTTACCCTCACTTTGTGCGGTGAATGCATCCCAACAAAAATGGGCGCGCAAAGCAAAATCATACGAGACAGCTGCCTGCCTAGTAGCGCGTACAGTAGTATGCACAATGTCCCATGTCTGACCGCATAGCCGCATATAGAGTAAATAGAAACCGTGCAATATATATCGAATTTTTGGTAGAAAAATAGGTTGGCCGCATATACAGCGGGAGTCGCATGAAGTGAGGGAAATCTGTATTGGGCAAAACATCCCGATGATCAAAAATTTCCCTGCAAATAACTCGGTCGGGATCAACACAGCACCAGCAGCAGTGCCAGCGACGTCACCCCCACCCCCCCCCCCCCCCCGACTGCGGAATTTCGCAGGACCCTCCTGAATTTGGTTTATTTTTAAAATGCACCAACTCACCAAAGACATCTACTATCAACAAGTTACGTCGGTCAGCGGTGGAAATTGACCGAACGTGACGTCTGAAATGAAACGGGTAATTTCGGCCGCTGAACGAAGTCTACCGGTTCGTGCTGGGGACTGCGGCGTGCGCTTCATGCCGTCTGATTTGCTCGACCGCCAAATGTGGAATGTTTTGGCTTGGGGGGCAGGTTAATGTCACTTGGGCTCCACATCGTCCGCCTGTTATTTGCACCTTTTAAAGTCACGATCCAGTGTGTGAAAACAGCCACACGGATCGCACACATTGCCAGTGTGAAAGATGATCGTTCAGAGTTATTTAAAGTGGTTATAATTCTTCTTCTTCTTTGGTTCTTTCGGTAAAGTCACGTAGAATGATAATAAAATAATAAATTGATAAAATAAAATAACACAATAATATTCTCACGACGTTTCGGCCACAACACAAGCTTGTGTGATAATAAAATAATAAATTTATAAAATAAAATAACACAATAATATTCTCACGACGTTTCGGCCACAACACAAGCTTGTGTTGTGGCCGAAACAAGCTTGTGTTGTGGCCGAAACGTCGTGAGAATATTATTGTGTTATTTTATTTTATCAATTTATTATTTTATTATCATTCTACGTGACTTTACCGAAAGAACCAAAGAAGATGAATCATTGCAGTCACGAAAGCTTTAAATCGAAATTTAGTGGTTATAATTATTTCTTATTTCATGTTAATGTAAAGTCTCATGGAATAGTGTCTGAAACAGTATGCAAATCATTGATAATATTTGAAGTTTCAATTTCTTTTAAATACATTTGCTGTGAATGTGATATGTCAAGAAATATATAAGTCAGTTGCCTGGGTGAAAAGTGATGGAGCTGTGTCCTTGCCCAAGTCTGGCTCAGCCTGGCTCTATTTTTTTAAATAAATATTAGTTATTTAAAATACCTTAACTGAAATGAAAAACACTAGTTTCTTGATTATTGTACGGAACGATGATTATTTTTTCACCAGCACACACTTATTTTTAATGGAAGTAATTTTTTGTGGAATTGGAAACACCACATTTTACGTAATTGTGTGTAAACGCAGCATACAATCTGTTGCTGTGCTTTGGAGTGATTCGCGAATGCGCTCGGCATTGACGCATCGTCTACTGCAGCTCTGTCCCCTATTGCATGGGCCCCCCTTCCGTTACTCTCCCTCCCACCGTCTCCCACCCGCCCCAGTGATCCCATGTATATTTGTCTGGCTGTGACAGCAGTCGGTTTCTGCCCTGGCCAATGCATGCAGACCCTCCACCTCTTACTAGCAAAGCACAGGAGCGCACGTTAGCCGTAAAATCCGCAGAGTCCCGGAGTGCCTGCCTTATCCCCACGATCTGTGCTGTGGACGAATTGGCTTTTATCTCGCGTAGGAAAAGGCTTCAGACCTCTCACAAATGCCCCCCCCCCCCCTCTTCCATGGCAACAGGAAGCCATGGGGCCCACATACACACTGCCATTTGCGCTTGACTAAGTTAAAGAGAAACACATGAGAAGCGGGTCACTGTGGTAGGTGCAGTGCTCCTCCTCGTTGTGTAGATTTGTCTCAGTTGCGTTCGGCTGCTGTAAGGTATTGCTCGTAGTTGTTACAACTAGATAAGGCCAACCGTGAGTCAAGAGAGCAAGGCCACCATGCGCTAGTTTGTATGTGGGATGTTACTGCGGATTGAACCTTGAACCGCAGTCAAGTGCAATAACATTTTGATAAAAACAACAACTCCAAAGGGCTTTATTGGAATTTGTGACTTTCAGCTGACCATATTTATTGCCCGAAATGGCAATTGTCACGTGGCTCTGCCCAAGTTTTATGCACAGACCTTGCTCTGTCAGTTCGAGCCACTCCGATTGACCGATTATATAGATTGCCCCCTGCAGGCCATAGATGAAGTCAATATATTCATAACTAACTTTACTACCCGGCTTCGCCCAAGACTTGGATTCTTGTGTTGGATCAATACACGCCCTACGCGGAGGGTGGGGGGATGATAACGTCAACAGGCACACTGCGTAACGCTGCCGCATGTGGGTGACATCACAGATGTGACATCACCGCTCACTTGCCATGCAAAATATATCCATTATTGCTCCCCCCCCCCCCAAAAATACAAAAGTATATTTTTATACTTTTTGCATTGTGTACAGTCTGGAAGCTACCCACGTGCCAAATTTCAAGTTTGTTGCATGTTGGGAAGTATGCTAAACATTTCGAACAGACGTACATATTCACAAATTTCCCTTTATATATAGATAGAGGTTTTTGGGTTAGATCGCGTAAATATATAAATGTGTCGTTAAAACCCGCCACCACCCGACACAGCCAACTAGTAAGGGTTGTCACGTAAACAGAACGTGGCCAATTCGTCATTAGTACAGCACACCGGTGTGGCTGTCGCCTGATGAAGCTAGTTGTAATTACTGGCGAAACGTCGTACTCAGATTGTAAATGTTGTGGCTTGGCTCTCCAACACACCGGTGTGCTGTACTAGTGACGAATTGGCCACGTTCTGTTTACGTGACAACCCTTACTAGTTGACTGTTTCGGGTGGTGGCGGGTTTTAACGACACATTTATATATTTAAGCGATCTAACCCAAAACCTCTATTCTGGATATTGGTCGCGAAAGCCTACGTGTTAAATTCAATATAGTTATTTGTTTTAACGATTTAAAACTTTCACCTTGTGACGTGTGACTCAAATGTTGTGCATAGCTTTGCGTATGAAATGCGGATCGCTAACCGCTATTGTGTTGCAGCGTCCGTTCAGGTTTTTTCTCCATGAGGACAGCGTTTTTACTGACTCTGTGTGTGTGCCGATTGTGCCTTCCCCCACTAAAATAACTTTCATTCTCTTCTAGGTCGACTTTGAAAACCCAGACTACGAGCGGTTCCCGAACTTCCGCAAGGCAATTGGATACGAAACGGTGGTCGGCCCGGGAGATGTTCTGTACATTCCCATGTACTGGTAATTGACTTCATTTATAAATGGATATTTTAACTTGGTTGCTGAGCACAGGAGACCCAAAAAGGGGCCAAAATGCCAAATGACCGGCAACAAAACGGCGCTGTTAAAGTTGTGGGCGATAAGCGTTCACACGTTGTTTTTATTTGAGCAAAGTCACGAGATCAGTGTGGTGGTTGAGCAGTCGGGATGAGACGAAACCATCGTTTTGGTAGAGTCCACTCGTGAAGTTTATAGGCTTAGTAATCATGGTAGTAGTGCTATTTACAGTATTAGTATTTTGAAGAACCTATTGATGGGTGGCCAGTCTGTGACCAAATCCAGTGGAATATGCCCAATTCCAGAAGCTGAGCAGAAGTGAGAGTCTGGATAGCGCTTAAATGGGCGGTCGCCGTGCATAAAATATGTTATAGGCTGCTGCTGCTGCTGCGGTGCTACGTTTCGGGCAGCAGAGGTTAGTGTAGCAAAATCCTTTCTGCACGTGTTTGCTCAAATTCTTATGGCCCCCGACCTTCACGAACCCACACTGACCAACGTGGTGAAGTTTGGTAAAATAACTCCTGTGAATAACTCTTGTGACCAGCATGGTGTTGGGAGGCCCTCATCCAGCAGTGGATGTGACAAGGCGCTGTGTACAGTTGTCATAGCAACAGGGATAATACAAAGCCTCCCACTGCATACTGCATCCCTATCACGTTAACGTGTTACTCTATCCTTGAGGTCACCAGTGCAACGGTAACATTGTGACCCCTGGTGATGTTGCTATCAGTAACCGGTCGCTTGGCAGCCGTTTGCCCTGTGATCAGATTGAGGGTGGCTACCACCGCACGTGTACTTTACTGCGGTTTGAACACGTTTCGCGATTGTAGAGCCATGTCTGTATTACCCAAGAAGAGCGGCTTCCAGTGTATGTAACCTGAGGACACCTTGGCTACAAACACATTGCACCGCGATCAACTGGCTTGCACTATGGCAAACGTATCGGTCGTGTAGTGCGTTACAGATGCTGTGTTTTAAAGCTGCCCCTCGCCCATAATGGATGCCCGTTGCATGGCTGTCCCGTCACATTTCAGGTGGCATCACATTGAGTCTCTGCTGGATGGAGGCATCACCATATCTGTCAACTTCTGGTACAAGGTTAGTTCATCACGAGTTCCTGTGAACTCCTGTGCACTCCGTTGTTTACCTATTGAGATGGCCGTCATGCCCCCTGCTTGAAAATATCTGATGAGCAAACAATATATCTAAAAATTTGATCCATCGTATCTTTCAATTATCCCGGTTGCCGGCGGCACAGGACGCGACATGTCAATCGCCCCGTCTGCTTTGCGATGGCATCGCCCACACCCCACTGCGGTTCAGACAGCAGTGGGGTATTTTCATGTGCGGCTCTCCGATTGGTGTGTCTGGAGCAATTTGACCAAGCAAGGGCATTGCATCTGCTGCCTACCCCTCTAGTGTTGGGTGATTCTTGCAGGTACCATCCCTCATGGGGGATTCTCAATTACACAGTTAAAAGTATTCTAACGGGGATTGTCTTATGGCATGGAATGTCCACCGCAATCCCATTTATTTCAAGGGTGATCCCTGAATCTCCATTGAAGTTAATGGTATTCTTTAGGAGCCTAGGAAATGTCCAGCAGAATCCCCATTCAAGTAAATGACAATTCCTTCCCGCAACTCCCATTAGCACGGTTGGCTACGTACGGTGCGAAAGAAGTTCAACATGGGCTGACTATGTGCTACGGGCCCTCCAATCTTGCCCGAACGCCACGGTGGAATTGTTTGGGAACCTGCCAATTCCATGTACTAGGCATTGTCCATACATTTTTATGGTAAATAAGGTCCATACCAGCTGGCTGGTATTGGTCTAGATTCCAACCAAACCATATCAACCAGATTCTATATTAAAATGTATTCCCTAGGCATAGGCCAGATGTGTCAATGGTGGGCTGAATGTAGCCTGGCCTTCCCTGCAGTTCCAAAAGATCCCACGATCCCCTTTGGCATCATATTCCATTCCAGGAGCCAAATGGAGATTCCAGTCCAGGAATCTGGTACCCGAGCGTGTGCGAGGTAATCTGCCCGTGTGGTAATCTGCCCACACGTGCACACAGATTGCACCTCCGAGCATAGTTTGTTGTCCCCCCCCGCACCTCCGATTAGCAAGGTTGGCTACGTACAGTGCAAAATAAATTGTACGTATATAGGTACATTCATACGTGGTGAGAGTCACTCTTTCAGTTTCTCTTTCGAAATTCCCACAGGCTGCTCCCGCCCCAAAGAAGATCGACTACCCTCTGAAGGCCTTCCAAAAAGTGGCCATCACACGGAACATCGAGAAGATGTTGGGAGAGGCCCTCGGAGACCCCCACGAGGTAACGTGAGCAATCCCAAGCTGCCCTGCAACTGGGAGATGCTAATGTCTTCATGTTGAAACGTTACACTGGGTGGCACGTCGAGAGTGTGCCATTAACTCGTATCATTAATAGGCACCACGACACCCCCAGGGCTGCCCAGTGGAGGGTGGCCATGAGCAGCATCACATAACCGCGGACTCCACAGTGGGCTTGACTGTCATTAATAAATAAGGGTGCCTCGTGGAATTCTTCCCTTGGCATCTGTTCCTGGGCCTCCTGGACCCTCTTGGCAGCCTTGAGAACCCTCATGCACTTAAATGAACCGAATGTGATATATTTTACACTCTTGCGTCTTGGACTGCAATTGGTATACTTGCCACAGACCAGCTGTTCTACATAATATTTCTGATAAGCTTATCAAATTAAATTGCATTTTGAAGGAATATTAACATAGATTGATTGGCATGATTACATGCTCGCGGTCGTGTTTTGCTCAGACATTGAGAAGACGATATAAATTGGGTTAGCATACGTAGAGCATCCCCACAGATTTAGAATTTTGAACCATCCAAACATCTGTAGTAGCCATGGAACATTTAAATCTCATCATCCAATCGTCCACGTGGGAATGTTTGGTTTGCCTATTCCAGTTATATTTGTACTTTCTATTTATGGCAGATGTCTTATACTCATGATGTTAGGACTTGAAATGTTTGAAAGCAGCAGTCATTACACGTGCTATGTTACAGCATGCTCACATCTCAAATATATACAAACCGTGTCGGGGGAATCGCATTGGCAGAAAACGAAATCCGTTTTGAATCTGCGTCCGTAATCCTCCACATGTGGCCCCCTTCATTGCAAGTGGACAGAATAAACACAACCGACACCAACAAGACGTGGCTGGCACACGCCTCTAATCGAGCATGTGAGAGGCAAGGGGTTGATGGATCAAGTTGATTTGCTTTATACTCTCAAACCCACTGGACTGTGAAGTGGCTGAGAAATGGCAGTGTAGCAAATTCACTCGCTTGGGTGAGTTATTGTCCACATGCTCTGGTTTCCTCCTGCATGCAAAACACTCAATAATGGAATTGGCCACCAAACATCTCAAAATGCAGGGCTCTGGTAAAAGTCTTAAAACTCGGTGAGGTTCTCGTGGATAAAGGGAATTTATTCCTTCGTTACTTTACCCGGAGTTGATTGGTGTGATGTTGTCTTTCTCTCTTTGCAGGTTGGCCCACTTCTGAATATGATGGTGCGAGGGAGATACGACAGCAGTCAATGAGGACATCAGTATCTGTTAGATATAATTCAGCACCTGAAATCCCTGGCAACTATCACACTAACTCCTTAAATTTGTACACGAACCCGTTGTTGGCAAATCGACTGTAGCCAACATTACTGGTATATTTACTCAAGCTGGCTTTCGATAATTTGTTTTTGCATATTAATAATTGCACCCCATGTGCAGTTTATGAAAAAAAAGGCCTCATTATTCTTGCTAAGTGGACTCGTAAGTTTTTATCTGCTGTTGTATTCCGTGATACTCTGTGAAAATGGTCATGGTTTTCTTTTAAGAGCGATAGTTTTACAGAAATATAATGTGGCGGAAGCTTTCGAAAGCTGTCCAGCTGTAGCACACGAAGGCAGCGTATTTTGAGTGTAAAATGAACACCTTTTCGAATCTTGTGAGAAATGTTCACACGCCTTACAGGTCAGGCAGTTACAAACATCACGACCTCCAGTCTATACTGCCATCTCGTGGTGGCGCTGTTGTACTGTTACTGCCAAATGGCGATTTAGATTGAAACGTTAAAATTTTTTAATGAAGGGTTTATTTTGTTTCCTCAATTATTGGTATTTTAGTTGTTAACGTAATTTAAATCTGCATATTTTTTAAAACTAAGGCCAAACCCAAACTTGTCAGACTCTTTACCTTGAGTCTCTCTTCACTCCTTGCCGGTCATTTGGCATCCATGTCGCGACGATCCTTCAAATTCCCTTTCGGCCACCGTCCAGTCACTCGTGCAATCCACAGATCTCTCACAACTCATCTCGACTCACACCCGTGCCCATTCAACATCTCCAATATCACGTGCACTGCTCTCGCTGCTGTTTCTCACCTGTCGATTTTAGCAACCAATTACCTCTTCAATGTATGTCTACTTTTGCTTCCCTGCACCACATCAATTCAGGTAACGAATCTCCTTCCACCCCACCAGACGTCTTTTTTTGTTTGCTCTGCTCGCACAGCTTCATGAACCTCAAATATCCGTCGAGATCACTGTAATTATCTTGCCCCCTTTTTGAAGACTCCGTTTTTGTTTGCCATGACAAACATTACGATGCTGCGGTTGTAAGTGCTATAAAATATCAAGTTATTTTGTAAAAAAAAATCCTTTGCAACTGCAAAAAAATTGCCCTGCGGTGGCAGCCTCTCAGCACTCTCCGACTTGCTTTCATGAGGCGCTAAGAGCCGTTGAGATGCGCAGTGTGTCTTCACGAGCGTGCCACGAGGCTTCCTCCAGCACTGACAATTCTTGCCTTGCAGCTTCTCAGGCTGACTTTTGATCAGGGGGAGGGAGGTAAACTGAAAAAAAACTCCCTAACTTTCGGATAGTTATTGTTTCCCTTCTACGTGACTTTACCGAAAGAACCAAGAATATGAATCCCTGCAGTCACGAAAGCTTTAAATCAAAGTTTCGGATAGTTGTTTTACAAACTGTAATGACAAAAATAGGGCTCGTTTTTAAAGGTCTTGCCTTCAGTGTAATTGTTCATAATGAGGGCCGTGGGTGATTGTTACAGTGAGTGCTGTTTGCTCAGACCACTAACCATGACACAATTTAGTTTATCATTTGAATGTAATTTTTGAATGCCAAAATAGTGTCCTTTAACCATAAGCATGATGGGAAAAAAAATCTACATATCTTTTTAATTTATGTTTTGCCAGGTGCTTGAAACTATCCCGTGTACACGGTCATGCAAAAGCCTGATTTTTGCATAGTAAAAACACCAAAAACAGTTACATCGTGGAATATTTACAAACAGCAACATTATTTCAAATGGGTCTGAAGATTTGAAAAGTTTACTCTGGGGTGTTTGTGCTCCCATTTTGTGGCTAGGAGTAGCAGTGCTGCCATAAACTGTTTGCCATGACGCAAATCCTATGAATACTTGCATTTTGTAAATGTTGTTCATTTTTAGTAGCATTGCGATATCAATTTGATTTTGAACTTTCTAAAGCTGGAAGCCACAACTCAAGTACATTGAATGTTCGAGTGAATGGCGCCAGTTAAAACGTACGAATGGATTTTTCACTTCTGTTCGATTGGGCAAGTGATTTAATGCCCTTTTTGCAAATCATTAATAAAAAATTGCCTGTGGTTAAACATGACCCGAATTCTGTTTTAAAAATCATATTTGAAAAATGTCCAAGGTGATTATTTCACTAGTGTTGTTCATTAGGTGGTGTACATTGGCCTATTACTGGTATGTAACCTCCCCTTTTCTCCAAAAGTAGTCTTGCCTGCGGTGACAGTTTTCCGTCGGGAGTCTCAGATATGAAGCCTATGGGATTGATACGACCCACTCGCGCTGTCTCAAATCAACGCTGTTGCAGCTCCACCTTTAAAAACAAGTCCTCAGGGGTGGATCCTAAATAGAAAAGGGGTGGGTACTAAATATGAGGAGGGGGCTTAAGGGGCCATTCATGTACGCATGGAGGGGGGTTAACCCAAATGCGTACGTTTCCGTAAGGGGATCTACTGACAATGTACGTACGCATAGGAAACGGGGGGAGGGGGGGGTGAAGCCTCGATAATAATTTGTCTACATTGGCCTTCAAATGAGTTAGATTGTCCGGCTGTGGACTGTTTGCTAAAGCACGTTAATATTAATCCTTGATCGTTTCTGCGTGGATTAAATATCGGCCGTTCTATAGGATTCGGGAGGGGGGGTGTCAAGCGGGCGTATGTACGCAGGTGGGGGGAGGGGGGTGTGTGTAAAGTCCGCGTGCGTACATGGAAGGGGGGGGGTCAAGTTGACAGATTTTTGCGTACATACCAAATGGATGGCCCCCAAGTGGGTTGATAAAGTGGTGGGTCAGAGGAAGTCGTGGTCTAAACAGGAAGGAGTTGTCCTGAAGAGGAAACTCATAAGCAGAAAAAAAACCTAATCTGCAACTCATGACAGTGACTTGAAAAACAAACCCAATTCCGCCCATGTGGTGCTTCAACCATGAACTTCCCTGTTGAATTAAGACAATTTAAGTGCTCATACGTGCAGCAGGCTGCATAAATCATTCTACAGAGGTGGCCAAGGGTCAACTTTTGTGAATTCATTAAAGACCTGACTACCACTGCCCACTCAAACATTACAATGCAACAGCAGAATTATGCTTTATTACGAATCACAAGCAGAGAACATGGCATACAATACAACAGGTAAATCTGGCGGCAACCCTGAACACACGTGCACACACCTCTGCATGCTGGCCCTGTTCATGTGCAGTAGCAGCATCTGAACACCTGCACAGTGGGAGTGCCGAGAGCAAGGGCAGAGGTGGTGGGGTTCGGTCCGTTTGGCAAAATGCACAATGCCAAGCGAGCCAGTACTCCCCAACGCCTCCGCAACTCAGGGTGGCTCGGTGGCAACAGCCTTTCCCAAGCACCCGTCACAATCCCTTGCTCTCGGCGGAAGTGGCCAGCGTTTGAACGACTTATTCTTACGTGATAGTGTTTGGAGAGTAACAAAAGCCCAAACGCCTCGGTGGCTTTAAAGGACACGCACAGGGCCATGCTTGCAGATGGTCGTGCATCGCGAATTGAGGTGGCCGGTGCTAAATCTTGACAATGCCCAATTGTGCTACCCAGAGTTTAATGCCTGCAAAGGCAGCACTGGTGTTAACAATATAACAATACTGTACATAACGTGCACTTTTTTCCCATTGGAGTTAATTTGAGGTTTATCCAAATTATGTAGATTGCACGTGACAAACTAGCTTACATTTTACTTGTTTACCCTTAAGTTCACAACATGTAAAATGCAAAAACACAATTTATATTGGCACTTTACGGTTTCTAGTTTCCAAAATGTTCTGATCAATTTTTAGCAAGGCATTTTAAATTCTGGCAAAAAGTTACCATCTCAATGCAACAAAGATATATTTGATTTTTTTTTTCCTAAAATAAACGTATTTACGTAAGCCACTGATACAAGGCACACACAAGCGACAGAAAGGAGCTACGCAAATCACTGCGGCTACTGGCGGCGTCTGAAGGCATAGGTGAAGCCCTGGGCACGGGTCGTGACGCGATTCGTTCGGCTTGCCTGCGATCTCAGCAGCTGCACGAGGTCACTCCTGACGAGTTCAAACGGTGCCAGGCGATCATACCTGCGGGACAAGTTACAGCAGCGGCGATGACCCAAACAGAGATGATTAATTTGAAGTCAACAATGTTCAATGTGGTAATTGCACAACCGTCCTGTGTTTCAGAACGAGATTAAATGGAGGCTTCGCAACGTACGCAGTGCACAATTATATATCACAAATGCAGCTATGCCCACCGATTATTTTCCCATTATGCACAACAATGGGTAAGACTTGAAGGGTAATTATTAGGATTGTTTACCCAGGATAGTTTCAATCAACTCTTTTGCAGTGGCGTCTTGCCAAATATTTTCAGTAGGGGGCGTATTTGCGGTGTAAAAAATTGGGAATTTGCTCAGGTCCATTAAAAAAATCCTGAATTGTGTTTAGAATGCTATATGAAATAACGAGTGGGAAATTTCACGATCATTTTTTCACAAAGAAAATAAATGACACATTAAACATCGTAAAGATCTGAACCGTACGATATATCTGAATCGTTTGAATGATCACCATTTTCATCATAAGCATTACCTGAACAATAAAAGTAAAGTCATTTGAATCCTCCGAATTATCTGAATAACTTTGAACTTGGTCAAAATAATGATGAAAGTCGTCATGTTAATCATCTAAAATAGTCGTCAGCATCTTCAACCGAATCATTGTTTTATTTTAGCTCAGTCACAATGTGTCATATCAAACAGTCGTGGTAAAGGAGCTCTGGACACACACATGATTGCATTACCGCATATAGGGCCGTCCCTGAGCGTCCACGAGAAACTTGTCAAAGTTCCACCGCAGGTCGCTGGACTTGAGTGGCTCATAGAAGAGAGATTTGGTATTTTCAAATCTTTCCACAGGGGATGGGCAGGACGCCTGTCACCAGGTAAAAGATACATGCACAAAGCAGGGTGTAAATCGGCAATCCACAGGCGATTATGGGTATCTGTACTTATGAACAATGTTTTTAAGAAGACTCAAAATTGGTTTATTTTGCGTTTGATAGTGTCGGTGTAAAGTCAATAAGAGCCCTCCACCACTCGATACAGCCAAGCAGATCAAGTTATTACGTAGGTAAATGTGCGAATTAATTCTCTTTTTCATCAAACCGAATGTTGAAAAGCAAGTACAACTTCGACTTTTATATGTTTGCGTGCAGATTACACCCAGCATGAGATATTAGCTAGAGAGATTTCACTCCAGGGACAGATCTGCATATGCAACTAAAACTTAAAAAGGTAAATTAGTACATTTCTAAATCGTATTTCATATGGCTGATGCAGCTGCAGAGCAACAACTAGAATTTCACATTCAGGTGGTCAAGCCAGACAACCGCGTCAGGAGCAGTGGAGCTTATTGCTGTGATGTCTCCTTCATATTTGTGGATCGGGCATTGCGTTGTTATACATTATACAGTCTGTTCTGCATGACCACAGTCGCACACTGGAGAGTTTTAACTTTTCCATTTGTGCATCAGGTATCTGCATCTGCCATAGTTTGTTCGGATGCGGTCTAGGGTGGACTATGAGCTTTGTGGAAGATCAAAATACAGGAACCTGCGTTGGGTCTTTCACAAGGTCGTTCACAATTTCCAAAATGGCTGAGACTGATCGTACGACCTGCTTTTTTTACTGTACGCTTTGTATTGAAACAACAAATTTGTTCCCAATTATTCGACAAAGCCACACCCACAAAGCTCTGAATGGAGCTAGCTGTACGTTGGCTTTTGTCACCACGGGAGCCTCGTGTCGGGTGAACGAGCACCTTGAGAAACGTGAAGAGTGGCGCCTCGGAGTCTCCGTTGACGTCAATCCTCTTGAACAGGGGGAAGTTGGGCACAAACCCGCCACCAGGGCGCACATAGCGCAAGCCGTTCAAAATCTCAGCAGCGTCCGTCCCTTCGTAGACCAAGAGAGGAGGGGGGGAGATTCGCATTCACGGCGACTCGTTAGACACGTAGGCTTTCGCCACCAATATAATCCACAATACAGGTCTTTTGGCTTAGATCGCGTAAATATATAAATGTGCCGTTAAAGCCGCCGCCACCACCCGACACAGCCAATTAGTAAGGGTTGTCACGTAAACAGAACTTGCAAATTCGTCATTAGTACAGCACACCGGTGTGTTGGACAGCCAAGCCACAACATTTACAATCCGAGTAATTGCAACTAGCTTCATCAATTACCGGCAAAACGTCGTACTCACGATTGTGAATGTTGTGGCTTGGCTCTACAACACACCGGTGTGCTGTACTCGTGATGAATTGGCCACGTTCTGTTTACGTGACAACCCTTACTAGTGGGCTGTGTTGGGTGGTGGTGGGTTTAACAACACATTTAGATATTTACGTGATCTGAGCCAAAACACCTGTGTTAGGGATTCGTATGTTAGCGCATATCTGCGTGTTTTGTAACTGCCACATCACAGCATGACTGTTGTACAAACATGGGGGGGGAAGCTGTTTATATTCAAATATGCCTAAAACATTCGCCCAACTTTCACTGTGGCCATTTTACTGTGCCAGCTTTGAAATGATTCAGTTTATGAATCCTGCAAGGTGACTAATTTGGAAATAAAACTGACATTAACGCAATGAACGTTTAACCTTCAGAAACAGCACATGGGCCACACAAGTTGTATAATCAAGATACTGACTGCAATAAAGATATACACACGCGAGTGTGAAAATTGCCTATATGGTGTGTAACAATCCTATACTTAGTTTACAAGGAAAATATGGGAAGAGGCACATTGTCTATGTAGTGTGAACATGGGTCAATTTGAGCTTCAGTGAACTGGGAGTGTCAATGATGAATGTGGCCGAATTTTTGTTTTGAGAGTTGTAGCTTTTTGCACTCCCACGTCTTTGCAACTCCTAATCACTTTTACAAACATGCTAGAGCTCGCTTATCAGGTCACATACAGTTTGTAATAGGTACACGTAGAAAGAGGAGTCACAACAAGCCAGCAGTCAACGTGCATTCAAATTTAAATCAAGAAGAGTATTTTGCCTTGCAAATACGCCA